AGGCAGAGAGAGAGAGAAAGAGAGAGAGAGAGAGAGAGAGAGAGAGAGAGAGAGAGATCCTCCACCCCCTGGCTCACTCCCCAGATGGCTGCAATGGCTGGAGCTGGGCTGATCCAAAGTCAGGAGGTAGGTGTTTCTTCCAGGTCTCCCACATGGGTACAGGGGCCCAAGGACTTGGGCCATCTTCTATTACTTTCCCAGGCCATAGCAGAGAGCTGTATTGGAAGTGGAGTAGCCGGGACTTGAACCAGTGCGCATATGGGATGCCGGCACTGTAGACTGGGGCTTCAACCCATTGTGTCACAGTGCCGGCCCCAAATGCTCTAATAATTTGATTTTTTTTTGCTGATATGTTATTTTTAAAAATTAAACGTAAGAGTTGACCAAGGAAGAGAGACACCCTTTAGTAGAAAGACCATGGACTCTGGAGTCAAACAAGTTTAGACTGGGATCCCAGCTTTGCCATTTTACTTGATGGTAATGTTGGGTAGGTCACAGTCTTTTTGAATTTCCTCACTGGAAAAAGAAGGTAGTAATAGTGGGGCTGATGGGCTGAGGGTAGGACGTGGTCCATGTACGTCCTTAGCACAGAGCCTGGCTCTGCTAAGTGCTGAATGAACATGAGCTCTTCCCATTACGTAATGCATACAGTGGGCTTGCACAGTCTGCACCAAGTGCATGCTTCCCCCCACCTCTTTCTTATGTTAACTTTCCATAGAGCTTAAATGAGAATGCATTTTTACCAAAAACCAATGCATGACTTTTTTGTAGTTCAGGCGACGGGTTGAATGGTGGCCCTAAATATATGGTCACCTCCTCCTCCCCTGCACCTATGACTATGATCTGACATGTAAATGAGCAGCCTTTACATTCTATGTGAACACATGGGATTAAGCCAAAGACCTTTCTAGGAGTAGTTTGTCCTGGATTACCTGGGTGGCCCCTAAAGGCAATCATACTTGGCAAGACTGAAAGAGAGGGAGTATGAGATAGACACGCAGAGGAGAGACACACAGAGGAGAAGATTCTGGAAGACAGAGGCTGAGACTGGAGGGACTGAGGCCCTACAGCTTCAGACTGGAAGAGGCAAGGGAAGATTTCCCTAAAAGCTCTGGCGGGGGGTGCCCTCTACTGACACCTTCAGTTCTGCCTTCTGATCTGCAGGAGAACACATCACTGGTGTTTTAAGCCACCCAGCTTGTGGTCACTGTCACAGCAGCCCCAGGGCACTGACACACTACGTTGCTCTGGGCTGGAAGACCGCCCTCGCAGCAACGCCAAGAGAGAAGGCCACAGAGGTGCACCTGCAACCCCCGCCCCTGCTCAGCTCAGCCTTGTCCAAGACCGGGCCCCCTCACTCAGACACAGAGGGGTGGGCCAGGTCCTGGGGGCCCTCCCTTGTCTCTGAGTTTCTCTCTGAGGCCCAGGCATCTTTCAGGCAGAGCAAAGCCTTTCTTCCCCTAAGAAGTGAGAGAGCTAAACATGCAAGCCTCCTCTGTTACATAACAGCTTGACTTCAGCAGGAACCTCTGCGTTCTGTAGTAAATGATTTTACTACAGGTTCTTCCCTGCGTGTGGGCTTGGAGAGGGAAGACAGCCAGGAAGAGCGCGCATGTGGGGCCAGTGCTGTTGCCATGGTGAAAGCAAAAAGCAAAGCCAGAGGCGGGGTGCTCCAAAGCCCCCTGCTTCCTCCCTCCCAATTCTACAAACAAGCCGGGGCCCAGCCCTCATCCCTGTGGCCTGCCAGATAACTTGCTCTTTAAGCTCCTAGGGTACCTTGAGAATGTATACTGTGATCTACGTTTTATAGACAAGGAGATGCAAGCCGGGGGACATCAATCAGCTTGTCTAGCTCCATGCAGCTGTGCAGAGGGCTGAGACAGGACATGAGCAAATGTCCATCTGTCACCAAGACCCTGCCATAGAGATGTCTTGTGACCTCAAGCTGCAGAGAAATACAGACGGGACTGGTGTTGTGTGGTGCAGTGGGCTACGCGGCCACCTGCAACGCTGGCATCCCATTTCGGAGTCCCAGCTACACTGTTTCTGACCCAGCTCCTTGCTAATGTGCCTGGGAAGACAGTGGAAGATGGTCCAAGCACTTGGGCCCCTGCCACCCATGTGGGAGACTTAAGTGGAGTTCCTGGCTCCTGGCCTCAGCATTACCCAGACCTGGCAGTTGTGGCCATTTGGGGAGTGAACCAGCAGATGGAAGCCATCTGTCTGTGTTCCTCTCTGTTGCTCTGCATTCCAAATAAATAATTCATCTTTAAAAAGGAATGAAGAGAAATAAAGAAAATTCTAGTTAGATAGAGGAATTCAGGTTAATAAATGTGCCTGTTAGAGCCCTGAAGGGCATCCTGTATCATAGTGTTGCACCGTTTTCTGGGCAACCACGAAGCCAAGCCTGTCCTATGCCCACCTGGAGTGGTTGCTGGGCCCAGAGTTTGTCCACAAACAGAGGCTCCCTCTTGTTCTGCTGTCTAGACGGAGACATCCTGGTCTCAGGCTCCTCTGATATTCATGGGCAGGGTGTGGTTATTGTCATCCAGGGCCATCCCTTAGCCTCTCCGTGCTTCAGAAATGTGTGTGTGTGTGTGTGTGTGTGTGTGTAGGAGAGGGATGGATAGGATGATCACTTCCCCATCCTTGTTGGGTTTTAGAACTTCCAAGGGAGTGTTGGTCAGACCACAGCCCCTGCCTGTTAGACTGGAATGCCTACGGGTGGGATCCAGGCATCAGCATATTCCAAGTTCCCCTAAATGGTTCTGCCATGCAGCCAGGTTTGAGAGCTTGGGGGTTACATGGCTTCCAGGGCGCTTCTCTGAACATCTGCACACGGAGGCAATGCCACCAGAGTTTGATTCTCCAGCTGGTGAGCATTCATGAGAAGCCTTGCACTATAGCCATACGCTCAACTTTTCCAGAGAAAGCCAGCCTACCTGGGTTTTCCTAATGGTAAAAGATTCAAATCTATGCAAAGAGCTAGACCGAGTATAGTCTTTCATGCTTTTAAGAAAGAGGAAGGATTAGTGAGACGTTAGAACTATGCAGGTGCTCCTTGGTTAATTACGGTTCTAGCGCTTGCTCTAACTGGTACCCTGGGATTATGAATAATTAATGTAATCTAGTCACCCAGCACTAGCTAAACCTTCGTTTCATCTGAGGGCTGGAGACAGAGCGGTGAATAATCCTTTGTATTCAAAGAACTCCTAGTCTGAGGTGATAGTAATAACAGTAACAATAACAGAAGCAGCCTTGATTCAAAAATACGTATTGCAGGTTGGGCAAGATTTTTTGCAGATCCCCCTGCAAGTTAAGCATCATTTCCTGTATGTTATGCTGAGGAAACTAAGGAACAGAGAGAGTTAGCAAACTGCCAAGGTCATATGCCCGGGAAGTAGCCCATCCACCACTCTAACCTGTGGCTGCACCATTTAAAAGCTATCTGTGTCATATCACAGTGCTTCAAACAAGAGAGAAAGGATTGAGCAATGGAGAAGGCAGGGAGAGGGTTAACTTTCGGGGGGAGAATCAGACCTTGGGTAGAGGAAATTGCCCACACGAAAGATGCTACAAGAAAGTAAATAATATTCATCAATATCTTGGCCATGTTTGGGCTCATTCCAGTTAGAAGGCACAGTTCTGGAACAGAGGAATTCATTATGAAGGGCCAGTTCTTTCATTGTCAGTCCTAGCTCCCTTAGTCTTCAAAAATAAACCCATTGTGTTTCTCCATGGATTACAAGGCCCAGCAAGGCCATTTTTCAGCCAGTCTGAGTCCTTGGTTCTGAGCAGATTTTCACTTTCACTGACTGCCATCAGTGACACAAAGTGCAGGAAGAGGGAAGGATGGGGGTGGGGGGAAAGTAACAACTCAACCGGCAGGTGCTGTACGTGTCACACAGTGTTAAAGTGAGTTAACACCCGGAGAACACACTGTATCCAGGTAACAAAGAGTTAACGCAGACATCTAAATCTAAATTTATTATCTGAGAAACCTACGGAGCTAAAAATCATTTGCCCACGAAAACAGCTGTAGCTTGAGGCTAGTAAATACACTGTGGCCTACATTAGGAAAGGGAAAATGAAAGAAGGAATGGATTTTCTTAATGAAGCTTTTACAAACCAACCACCATTTCACGTTGTAGCCAAAACAAGTGAAATCATCGGAGGAACTTAGGATCTTAACGAATATTCAGAGACAGTAGAAAATGGCTTAGAGATCAGATTCTCAAAATATTTACTACATTTAAAGAATGAAAATTTCCTGTACATACGTAGAAAACATGTAAATACACAGAAGTATTATATACATGTACCTATAAACATGGCATTTGCAAAATATACATATATAGACCATATGGCCAAATACAGGCTTCCTATAAGGGGTTGACTTCATAGCAACATTTTCATGTGGAAAATGACCTCCACTCTGGAAATCAGAAGTGAGGAAGATGCATGTTGTCATTGCACATCGTAACATAGTGCTAAGTCTACGCAGCCTCCAGTGAGGTAACAGATCAGCCCAATGTAAACACAGGCAACCTCTGTCTCTGAAGGGACTCACGAGAGGCCTGTGAAGCTGCAGCAGTGAAATATTGAGTTAACAGACTGCACAGAGACACATGAAATTACTTAGGCTCATGCAATTTTTTAAAATTTGAAAAAAAAACATTGGGAATAAAAACAATACTATGTGAAATGGCTAGTGTGCTTGAAACCCGATTAAAAAAATGTATGCAGGGATCTTCAACCAGACAGACAATCAGCTTGTTTTTCTCTTCCAAAGTCTGATCAAATTAGAAGTGAATATTTAGAACAGGTTTCTTTGTGAAATCCTCTTTTCCCATCCTTTATAGCAGACAGACACACACACACACAGAGACACACACACACAGACACACACACACATCCTTCTCTCTTCTTCCAATGACAGATCCCTGGCTGTTGGATTCAAACTGTTCAGAACCAAAGGATATGCTAAAGCAGCATGTTACCTTTTTGCTGATCAAACACAGAAGGGGTGCCGAAATCCATGGTAGCAGGTCTCATCATTTGCCATCAGAATGGCAACAAGCATCCAGGTTTCTAGAGAGGAGAAAACATCATCTCACCCGTTATAGTCAACACAACAGTCAGACACAGCACTGCATGCCAAGATCTCCGTTTCAGAATAAAACATGCAACGGAAGTGCAGAATGTTGTCAAGACGAACCATGAAAACAGGTAAACTGTATCCCTGAAACACCTGCCAGGAAGAGAGTTACTCTTACGGCTTCGTTCATCAGCTATACTTGTGTGTAAGTAAGATCTCACTTACATTCCCAAACAAATCAACAGAATAGACCAAACCCTGCAAAACAGCATTCGTGGGGGTCACCTGCCTTGGCTCCGAGCCGGGAAAACACCGCAGGTCACTGGAGCGTCAGCAGCTGGAATGTCGCTTTAAACCAACAGAAATCTCAATGGGTGAGTGAGGATTCACAGGGCCAGACGGAGCATGTGCAAAGCTGCCAATGCAGTTTGCATTCGGCTGCGCTCTTGGTGGAGTGAGAGCTGCATTCGGGTCATGTGAGCGGAGAGTGCCATCTCAATGGAACAGGATGTAAATATTGTAGCAGGAGGCTGCTGGCCATGTGCTGTGCCGAGTAATCACGCACTTCTGCAGTCTCCCTTCGGCTCATTCTGATTGACAGGGGGGATGGGACGGGAGGGAGTGGCATTCGAAAGACCACATTTCAAGTTTCAAGGATCTGTGATGATAAAATTAAAGCAATCTGCCATCACAAATGTGTTTATTGCAGCACTCTATGTAAAAAAAAATATGAAAAATCACCCAAATATATATCATCGGAGGAGCAGTTGAGTATATGGTAGTAAATTCATATCCTAGATCCAAACACCTGAGCCAAATAAATCTGTGTGTCTTATCTGGTGGATGTCACTCATATAGTGTTAATGAAACAAGTGAGTTGTATACTTCATTTGTTCACATTTTCCACAAAGCCAGCAACCACCCACTATGTATGTAAATATATTCTACACATGTGTTCAGAGGAACATTGAAGAAAGTGTGGAAATATATGTACTAAACTGTTAATATTGCTGATCTCAGGGGATTGTAGTTAGAGAAAGAGATTCCTAACTTTTTTTTTAAGATTTTTTTTTAAGTTACGGGGGGGGGGGGGTCCTCTATCCACTGGCTCTTTCCCCAAATGATAGCAACAGCTAGAGCTGGGCTGATCTGGAAACCGGGATCCAGGAGCTTCTTCCGGGTCTCCCATGTGGGTACAGGGCCCCAAGGACTTGGGCTATCCTCCGCTGCATTCCCAAGCCACAGCAGAGAGCTGGATCGGAAGTGGAGCAGCTAGAACTCGAACCGGCGCCCATATGGGATGCCAGCACTGCAGGCAGTGGCTTTACCTGCTACTCCACAGCACTGTTGCTCCCAGTCTTCGTGGAGGAACGACACAGGACCCTGCGCTGTTCTTTCGTCTGCTCGGCCCTCCCCGGGTTTGCTGCTGGTTCTTCCTGGGTTGGCTACTGTCCCTTCCACCTCCGTGGAAGGGCGGTTCCCCCTGGCCACTTTCCCCACTTCCGCAGGGGAGCGGCACACCGCCGGCCGGCTCTCTTGGGGGCTGCACAGGTGTTCCTTCAGATAGATGTTCCTGGTGCATGTTGTCTCTCTCCTCCTTTATAGTCCTCTTCCACCAATCCCAACTCTGCTACCCACACGCCGAGTACGCTGCTCTACTCCAATCAGGAGCAGGTCCTGCAGCTTGTTGGTTGAACTGGAGGCAGCTGGGTAGAAGCTATTTCCTCCTCTCCCAGTGCCATATTGTGGGAGAGCAGATGCATAGAATAAGTCTTAATTCCAGTAACTTAGTCTAGTCCGAGTTGCTCCCCACAGATCCCTCCCTCCCTAACTTATCCTTTATCTATCTCTGTACTTTTCGTATCATTACAGTAAGTAACAATTTAGAAACAATAAAAATATGACACGGTAAAGTCCAACAAAGATAGCTGCACATTCTAGACAGGACCAGATTTGGAGTAAATGGAAGTCGGACAGCAGCTACTCTCACAAACGCTGTTGGAGCGGTAATGAGTGTTTTCCTGTTTAACTTGGAGTGTGACTATGGAAATGAAAGAAAGGACATCTCGCTAATGGCCACCTTTGCTGTGCTATGGACTCACCTGGTTTGTCATGTGTATTCTCTGTCAGGCAGGCTCCTTTCTTGTCTCTTGCCCCATCTTTTCTCAGCATTCATCATTTATTTTCCATCAACAAATTGGCAGCCTTCCTTCCCTATGACCATCCTGCTACTCACTGGACAATATCACTGCTCAGTGCCACCACTCAGTACAACGACTCACTCAACAATGCTGTTACTCAGTACTGCTATTCACTCTGTGATCCTACTACTTCATGTGCCTCTGCGCTCCTCAACAATCCTACTACTATGCTGCTATGCGTCAGTACTACTCCTCACTCAACAATACTACTGTTCACTCTGCTTTATCACATCAGCCCTGCCCTTCAAAATGCCCCGTGATTTTGTAAATTTAAAAAAGTATTTCTCTTCCGAATCATTGCCCAGATGTGTTCCATGATTAAGTCCCGAACACCTCTCAGCAGCAGTTTGTTCCTTTATCCGCAGTGGCCAACTGAGGGGACTAGGAAGGAAACCTGCATCCCACCGGCACATCCTCTGCTGAGAAGTCGTGCATCTCATCCAGCTGACCGTGGTCCATGGAGCTGCTGCCACTCAGTCTCAGACCAGAGGGGAAAAGGCTTTAGGTGGACTTTGCTTTCATTTGTCCACAAATGAATGCTCCAGGTTCAAGGACCAGAAAGGAGACTGGTGCAGCTGACTCTTGGGAGTGGAGAGAAGTGAACTGACAAGGAAGGAATGCTCCAATCATCTGTAGGCACTGGTGATGTGGCTGTGAACATTCAGGGACGGTCCCATCATCCAATGGGCTTACACCCTTGGGGGGAATTTCTGCTTCTGCCATGCTGGAGTAACAGGGACTGGATTTATCCTCCAGACTTAAACAACTAGAAAACTGGACAAAATACGGAAACAAAATGCTAGCAAGACAGGACCGTGATCCTGGGGGGAGAAAAACAAACAAGATTAGCCTGGTGATTGCTCGGCTCTGCTTGGGGAGAGTCTCCAGGCTGTAGTGTGTGGAGGGGACAGTGGACGGAATGGTTTGTGGAATAGTCCACAGATGTGTCCATGTTCTCATCCTCAGAACCTGTGGATGTGACCTTACTCAGAAAAGGGGTCTTTGCAGTTGTAAATAAGTTAAAGATCTCAAGTCGAGGGGCTGGCGTTGTGGCGTAATGGGTTAACCCGCCCACTGCAATGCCGGCATCCCATATGGGTATCCAGCTCCCTGCTAATGTGCCTTGGAAAGCAGATGAATATGGCTCAAGTCCTTGAGCCTCTGCATCCACGTGGGAGACCTGGAGGAAGCTCCTGGCTCCTGTTTTTGGCCTGGCCCAGCCCTGGCCATTGTGGCCATTTGAGGAGTGAAGATCTCTCCATCTCTCCTTCTCTCCCTCTCTCTGTAATCCTGACTTTCAAATAAATAAATAAACCCTAAAAAGAAAATTTCAAGTTGAAATCATCCTGGTTTATTTATTTGGACTTTAACTCCAGTGGCAAGTGTCTTTGTAAGAGACACACAGAAGTGACCCACAGAGAGAGGAGGGGCCATTGGACACAGAGGCAGAGACTGGAAAAATGCAGCCCCAACCAAGGAACCCTTGTAGACACCAGAGCTAGAAGAGGCCACCCTAGAGCCCAGAGCCTTCGAGGGAGAGAGGCCCTGTCCACACCTTGATTTGGAAGTTCTGGGCTCCAGAACTGTGAGAGAATACATTTCTGTTGTTTAAAGCCATCACGTTTGTAGACACTAACAGAGAGGAAGAACTCTCAAAATGAATGGAAAGTCTCCCAGTGGCTCCATTTCTGTGGCATTTATATAATTACCCAAACCAAAGTCAACTACACTGATACTTTCATGTTTGTAGGAGGGCTGCCTGGGGCTCATTTGGAAGAAAAGCAGTTAAATAGGGTGGAAAGGAAGTGGGCATGTCTTGGGGTGGGATTTGGGTCAGTAACACAACTTTGGAGCCTTAGCATCTTAATTTGTACTGTGGGAACCACACCCCTGACTGGTTGTGGGAGCTGACTGTTACTGTCTTTCCAACTGCTTCCCGGGCTGCAAACACATACCCAGCCTAGTGCAAGACAACATTTGGTTGCATCTTCCAGTGCATTTTGAGTAAGGCCCATCTTCATATGTATCTGGTGCCTGTGCAATGTCAACTCTCAGCTCTACGGTAGGAGGGAAGAGAGGACAAGGGCTGTGTGACCATGCAAAACCTAGCTCTTTCCTTCCTTGTCAGTTCACTTCCCTCCACTCCCTTGAGTCAGCTGCACTAGTCTCCTTTCTGGTCCTTGAACCTGGAGCATCCTTTCCTGCCCTGCAAAGACTGCGGTGTTCTGTCTCCCTCTGTGCGAATGCTCTTTCCCCAGCTCGAATGCTACCACGTCAGAAAGGCTTTCTCGGACCACATTTCCTAAGAGTCCTCCACTTCTGTACGCCGTCAGTCACTTCTCTCAAATTCGATGAGAAGTACTCCTGCCAGGGAGACAGGGCCTTTGCCCATGCTGTGACATTGTTGGGCTCAGAGCTTCTAAGCTATCTGTGGGGAAGGACCAGCTTTTAGATTTCCTAGCCAGCATGGATCCTTATATTCTTAAATATGATTTAAAAGCCAATAATAGAGATGTAAAAAGAAAAAAATAAAGACTTGGAAAATGCATTCTTCTATTTGTATTATTAGATTCAAAAGGCATAATATTACATGACTGAATATAATTAGAACAAAGTATAAGAATTATGAAAGCTATAAACATTATTCACAGATGGTGCCTTTGGGTGTTAGTATGATGTACTGTCCAACACAATGGCCATTAGCTATTTACATGTGAATTTTAAAAAGTAACAAGTCTTATTCCTCAATCAGAGGAATTTTACTTTGTCATGATTAAAAACATTTGCC